CTAAGTCGTAAGACTAAGACTAAGAATTCTGTTCTGATCTATTCTTAAAATATGTACCTGTTTTTTTGGCTGGATCGGTTAAGATTTGTCTAAATTCTAGATATGGACTATTCTATATAGACTATTCTCTCATGAATAGTCCTTTTTACTATTCGTTACCTTTCCTAAAAACAGTTGAAACAAGAAAGGAAAGCTAACTTCGGGCGTATCCGAAGTTTTTTATTTAGCCTTGCAGCTAAAACCGGATATATATCGCAAACATCGGATATAGTTGGCCGATCCTTATGAAATTTGGTAGGTTGGATCAACTGACCAAAAATATAATCTGTACTAAGTTCTAGCTTTCTATCTTTAAAAACACGTAAGTTGGGTCATTTCGGATCGTTCAGTTATATGGCAGCTATAGGATATAGTCGGCCGATCCTTATAAAATTTGGCATGTCGTATTATTTTGCCAAAAATAGCTCTCATGTCAAATTTGAACTCTCTAACTTTATAAAACCAAAGTTATACCATTTCCGATCAATCAGTTATATGGCAGCTATAGGATATAGTCGGCCGATCCGGGCCGTTCCGACTTATATACTGCGTGCAAAGGAAAGAAGGGTGTGTGCAAAGTTTCAAGACGATAGCTTTAAAACTGAGAGACTAGTTTGCGTAGAAACAGACAGACGGACAGACGGACAGACGGACATGCTCATATCAACTCAGGTGGTGATCCTGATCAAGAATATATATACTTTATAGGGTCGGCGATGTCTCCTTCACTGCGTTGCACACTTTTGGACAAAATTATAATACCCTCTGAAAGCGTATAAAAATGAAGTCCTCTTTAGATCGCAAACGGCTAATTATCGTCAAAATTTAATGGAATCTGGGGATATACATACCATTACATGTTTTTTTTTTTTTTTATAGATGTAGCAATTTTTGAAAAATTTGTATTTTTATCATTTTGTATTCTATATTCCTAATAATATAATTCTACTACTCTACATTTGTACACTGGAGGGAAAAAGGGTTTTTCTTAGAGTTAAAAAAAAATAAACAAGTTATGAAAATATGTATAATAATGGTACAGTGAAGAAGAAGATTAAAGAAGAATTTTTCTTCCTTTAGAAGAAAATAAGGCAAAGTTTGTCGTTTTTGTGGGAATGCGTAATATATATCTTATACGAAGTTATAGTGCATGTGCGAACCTTAATCAATATCCCCTTTTTCTGAAAACAGAAAGGATGGCTTACTTCGGACGAAGTGAAATGAAATATACTCTTGCAGTTAATATTGGATATACATCCGAACTCTCTAAACCTTTTCCGATCAATCAATTAATGGCTGATCCCTTCCGTTTCGAATTAAATACTGCGTACAAAAAAAGGGTATGTGCAAAGTTTCAAGTCGACACTGAGCTCGACTTCAAGCTTCGAAACTGAGAGACTATCTTACAAAGGAACAGACAAGAGTATCCATGCAAGTACCCATGCAAGAGTATCTAAACCACTTGACGAGGAAAAATTCCGGTGACGAACGAGCGTAGGCGAGGACTCAAAATAGCTGATATCAATTTTGGGGACAAAAAAATCCAATATTGTACACCCATATTGGATTTTTTTGTCACCAAAACTATCTTTTTCAAAATATTCTTTCACGGTCTTTCTATAATTTGTTTATTTATGTTATTCAACGTGATGAATAGAAATATTTTAAAATACGAATTTGTAAAATCGAATCGAAAATACGAATGTATTAAATCGAATGTTACGAATCGAATTACTGATAAGCTTCGATTTTTACGCTAAGGTATGCTGTTCGCCACCTCGGGGACTGCCATCCACAGTTATAGTCGGCCGATGCTTATTAAAATTGGTATTTAAATAAGGAAGGGGTCTTTACGGTTTTGCACACTTTTCCACACCAAAGCTTTAATCCCCAAAGGAAGGGTATACGGTAACTGACAGAGGTAACACACAGACTTGGGGGCGTATACGTAATATTTCAGGATAACTAATATTACTAACCTCTATAACTAAAGATAACTGAAAATCTTTTCCAATCCTGGCCGTGTAAATAGTTTTATTGCCAATCAAGGTCAGGGTTTATGAAATACGTCTAAATTTATTTATTGTCAAGCCTAAGAAAATTTAAAAACTACCAGCTACATATTCATATGGATTTTTTAAGCAGTTCTCATAGAAATTGTTTGTTTTTTAGAATGTATTTGAAAGCCAGCTATTTAAAATTATAAAGTCTTATTGAACTAGAAATAATTTGTGGTTTCTCAATTTAATATTCAATTTTTATCAAATATTATAGGTAAATTATTTTATTAACCTTATAAGCGAAACTCAAAATCCTAAAGTTGAAGCGCAAGCCAGGCCTCTAAGGTCCGGTGAATGAATTAATTGTAAAAATGTTGGTCTTATTTTACTTATTTTTCTTATTTTTATTTTTCATTGTAAATTTTCCACTTTATGCTTCCACTTTCTTAGAGAAAGGACATTCCATCCACATATCTAAAACCGAACAAATTGCTTTCGTCTTCCCGTTGTTTTTTGGGAGGCATACATTGGGGATAAATGCTTTATTTTGCCTATTTTAAATAGGCAAAATTTGCCTAAATACATCGAAGGCCCAACAGACATCGGAACTCTGAGTCTGAGTCCCTCCCACTGAGCTGAATATGTTAGTGTTACTTATGTATGTTACTATGTTTTTACTCGTACTATGTTTATGCGACGGATCACGATTTCTAAAAAGCGTAATACATATAACAAGAAAGGAAAGCTAACTTCGGGCGGAGCCGAAGTTTATAAACCCTTGCAGTTAAAACCGGATATATATCGCAAACATCGGATATAGTTGGCCGATCCTTATGATTACATCATATTAAAACTAATTACCTAAAAAAAAAAATCTAAAAAAAAGTACCATTTCCGATCGTTCAGTTATATGGCAGCTATAGGATATAGTCGGCCGATCCTAATGAAATTTGGTAGGTTGGATCAACTGGCCAAAAATAGAATCTGTATTAAATTTCAGCATTCTATCTTCAAAAACACGAAAGTTGGGTCATTTCCGATCGTTCAGTTATATGGCAGCTATAAGATATAGTCGGCCGATCCTTATGAAATTTGGCATGTCGTAATGGTTTTGCCAAAAATAGCTCTCGTGTCAAATTTGAACTCTCTAACTCTAAAAACACCAAAGTTATACCTTTTCCGATCAATCAGTTATATGGCAGCTATAGGATATAGTCGGCCGATCCGGGCCGTTTCGACTTATATACTGCGTGCAAAGGAAAGAAGGGTGTGTGCAAAGTTTCAAGACAATAGCTTCAAAACTGAGAGACTAGTTCGCGTAGAAACGGACAGACAGACAGACGGACAGACGGACATGCTCATATCAACTCAGGTGGTGATCCTGATCAAGAATATATATACTTTATAGGGTCGGAGATGTCTCTTTCACTGCGTTGCACACTTTTGGACAAAATTATAATACCCTCTGCAAGGGTATAAAAATACCCCCTGTTTATGCGACACATTTTAGTCTGGACAGATGAACAAACTTAAATTCATTATAAAACGAAAACTGTTACCAGACGGGACTTCAAGGCCCGTATAGCGCTTTTGAGGGTTATTCAATTATGTGAACTTTATTTGATTTGGTACATACCTCAGAGAAATCGTTTTCTAAAAATTATTAAAAAGTTTCATTGAACTGGGAATACATAGGCTTTATCCAAAAAATGTATTTTGTAGCTATTGGGGAAAAAAACAAATAAATAAACTCCGAATTATTGAAACCCATACCCTTTAACCAAAATTAAAAACAAACTTTTATATATCTTGCTTTGAAATTTCTTTTTTTTATTTTTTTTGTAGCATTTTTAAGTTTTCTTTACACATTTACATTTATATAATATATATCTCATTCGTCATATATACCTTTTTATGCTTTTCTTATATCTTGTCATACTCTTCCGATTTGTTGTTGATTTTTACCTTTACTTTTATTTGCATCGTTCTTTAAAATTAGTTTTACAGTTACATTTACATCTAAAAAGGTTTTCTCTCGTTTATCATCTTGTTGGTTTTTGTTTTTTTTTTTTTTAATTTTTTGTTTGTTTTAATCATTTCTGGTTGTGTTGTCTGCTTCTCTATAAATATAATTTTTTTGTTGAGTTTTCTCTTTTGTTGTTTTTTTGCTGTTTACTTTTAATTATAATTTGCAATACTCCCGATTTTGTTTTCAACTTAAAGAATTGATTTAAAAATTAAGAATTAGTTAAGTTAAGCTTAAATTTCTAAAATGAAATCGTTCTGTTGTTGTTTTTTGTTTTGCTTGTTTAGTACAAATTACACAAAAAAAAAAGTATTATGTTCAATTCTCGTTACTTGCCTACTTACGAATAGCGTTTAAAAAAAAGTTTCGAAAAACACAATTAATACAACGAAAAAAAAAGACATAAATTAAAGAACATAAAACCTAATTAAGAGTTAATTCTTCAAAAGTGTTTGCTTTCCGTTCTCGTATTATTTTTTTTACATTTTCTTTTATGATTAGTAACAAAATCAAGTGACAGACAGGGCTGGATCGTGTATATATATAAATATATATACTCTTCTATATACCAAAGTTAAATTTTTCGCCTCGACTTGACTTACTTCGCTACAGAATTTGACATTCAAACACATTTACACAGACAATCCATACACATACATATATAATTCTACATTTTTTTTTAATTTATTAGATTTCGATTTTCAATGTTTTTTTATTAATATTTTTTTGTCCAATTTGCATCGCAAACGTTTTTAGTTTTTAAATTTATTTATTTTTTTTTTGTTTTTTTGGTTTTTTGTGTAAAACTCTCTCGTGTCAAAATAATTTTTGATTTGCTGTCCATTTGGTGGAAAAATCGCTCTAAAAAAACTAAATCTGTTCTGTTCTGTTCTTGGAAACACTCTTCTACAAACGAAGAAGAATCGAAAACGCAAAAAATTGTTTTTTACTTGACAGTTATGTTGACAGTTTTTCTGCTTCTGTTCCCATTTGCGGGTCCGTTTCCGTTTCCGGTCGCTTTAAAGTATTTACAAAATATATCGAAAATTTCACGCTCTGTTCTATCATTTCCCTATTTATCGCCCTATCCTCCTGTCGTCGCTCCTCCTTCTACTAGCTTTAGTTCGTGTATACATATATATATTTAGATAGATGATATATAGCTTTATGTTCATTACCCCGATATATGTTAAAAAAAAAAAAAAAGGAAAGACTTCTAATTACCAATTTTTGTTTGGGGACAAGAAATCTCTGCCCTCCTTTGCATTTTCCTCGCTGCCTGTCCATTTCGTTATTGTTCAAGAGATATCTTTTGCTAATACTTTTATCAATTCTCCACCTCCATGCTCCTCCTCCTCCTCCTTCCGTTTTTATCTAGGGCTATATATATATATATATACTCTAACACATACACATTGAAAAAAATGCTCCAAAATATAACATTTAGTTTTTTTTTTTTTGTTGTTTTGCTGATTTTTGCTAGATTTCCCTTTTGCTTATATTATTATTTTTTGTTGTTAGCTTATTCTCATTTTTTTCTATTCTATGCTATCATTTTTTGTTTTCCCTCTTGTATATAAATATTGTTGTAAGCTTTTTTCAAACGATTTAATTTTTGTATCAAATGGTTTTTTGGGCTGATTTAGGAGATGCGTTATCTTGCCTACTTTGATTGGTGATACAGTGCGGTTAATGGCAATAAGGCGGCAAGAATAAATTAAACACTTTAGAAGCTGCTTTTTGGCCATAAAACGCACTATCGACTATCGGGTATGTGGGTTTGTTTTTTTCCACCGAACAACAAATTAAAAAAATGAAAAAGATACAGATTATCAGTTAAATTCTTTAACAAATCTTGAGGGCTTACACATAATGAAGGGCGGGGGGTGGGGGATGGTAAGGGATTCTGTTAGCTTATTGCACTATTACACAAATTTTTGCTACACAATTAGCTCTCTACGTTTAGTTTCTAATTCAAATGGGTATTACACAGATACAAGATACAACACTCGCGCCATCTTCCTCGCACTCCCACCATCCTCCCATCTCGCTCTCGTTCATGCTCTCTCGCTTCAGTTTTCAATATTAATAATATATGTATATATATATATATATTTCTGGTTTACACTATTCAATATTTCTATGATTAATGCTGGGCTACACACACGGTACATACACACAAACACTCTAATTTGATTTCTGCTTCATGTTTCAGTTTTCGAAAAAGGTTTTTTCAAATCGATAGACGTTGGGGAGGGTGTGAGAAAAATTTAGAATAGTTATCGTTATCGTTATGGTTTCGCCATTATTGCTAAGGTTTCTGGTTCGGTTCTTTAGTTTGGTCAAGAAAATCAGATTACAGATTCAAGATTTCCGATTTCTGAATTCAGAAAGTTAACTACTTGCCACACTGATTATGGAAATCTGACATGTTTTTTTAATTATATTTTGCTTGACTTTCGTTTTAGTTTTAGGTATATATATATATAATAGTTATATATATATATATTTACTCATATATATATATATGTGTGTATGTGTATATATTTATAAAGCGTTACCCATTGGTGGTTTCTGTTACAACAGCGCATTTTGGTTTTTTTTTTCTTTATATTTTTTCTATATATGCTTTTGTTTTTTTTATCGTTTTTTTTGTCTAGCTTTCGGTTTTTTAGTTTTTTGTTGGTTTTTGTTTTTTAGTTTATGGGTGTGCCACTCTTATACGGTTTTGAAATGTTGCTTGGTGTTTTTGTTTTCTGATAGATCTATTTCTTCTCTATAAAGTAGTACAATTAGATTTAGGTATACGTGTATATGCTCTTCTAAACATATATATATATATATATGGGTTGTTGTGGATGTTTTGTTGATAAAAAAGTTGCATGTTGTTGGGATTTGTATGCCGGTTGTTGCTGTTGTTGAACATGGTTGACGTTTTTGTTGTTAATTTTGTTGTTGAATATTGTTGTTGAACATTTTTTTGCCGCTCACTGCCTATTGCTTCCGATTCTTATTGTTTTCCTTGTTGTTGTTGAAATGTTCTGCTTTGTTGTTGGTCTTCTGTGGTGTATTGTTGGTGTGTTTTGTTTGTTTTTGTACCTCTTTTCGGTAACTAACTCCCCCGGGCTGTTGTTGCTTGATGTTCTTCTACAAAACAATGACATTTTTAAAAATAATCTCCCTCTCTTCTGGTTTTTTGATTTTCAAAATCGATGCTAATGTGTTGGGCGGAACTGTTTGTTGTTGTTGAAATATCATGCAAAAATGACAGCTTTCAGGTTGTTTGTTGTTTGATGTGTGCGAAGAGTAAAAAACACGCCTTCAGTTTTTTTCATTCTTTTTAGTTTTCTTTTTTTTTTCTTTTTTTTGTAAAAAAAAAAGTGTTGTAGTTCTTCTAGTTGTTGTTGTTGTTGTTATTACATCTTATAAGGTGGGAGCTGTTGCACACATTTCAGTTGTTCTTTTTAGTTGTTAAAACCCTTCTGTGGTGTTTGTTGGTGTGTTACTGCGCGGTTGTTCCAGCACTCAGCATCAGGAAATTGTAGTTGCGATCCTTGTCCGTTTGATGGAAGCCTGTAAGGAAAAGGATACTTAGAAGAGGCTCCTAATACCAGGAGTATTGCAACTCTCTCTACATAGATAGACTCTTTGTAGAGCTTTGAACACAAAGAGCTACCTACTTCCAGGCTTTAGACATCGATCTGGCTTACCATTCGCTCCTCCACCCGATGTGGGCACTGCTGCAGCCACAATGGTGGCTCCGCCATTTAAGGCGGTGGCTCCACCACCTGCCCCACCGTGGAACTTGAGGTTCACACTCCGAGCACCCACCAGATGGGCGGTGGCCGTTGCCGTGGGGGTTTGCTGCGTGGGCGAGGACGAACTGGACGACGAGCTGGACGACGACGACGATGAGGAGGACGACGAGGAGGACGATGAGGAGGAGGAGGACGACGAACCGATAAACGAGGCCGACGAGGAGACGCCGCTCGACGAGGAGCTCGGCGACGGCGATGGCGTCGACGGAGTGGGCGATCCCCTCGTAATGGTGGCACCCACCACTCCAGCTCCGGCACCAGCCCCGCCTCCTGCGGCTCCGTTGCTGCTTGGACTGCCCGCTGGGCTACTGTGATGATGCTGCTGCTGCAGTTGCAATTGCTGGGCCTGCTGCTGCTGGATAGCGATAGCCGTTGGTGAGATTGCCAGTAAGCTGTTGCCGTTGCCACTCTTCAGTGTCATGAACCCGATGGCCGGGGTGAGGGCGGCGGTGGCGGCAGCTCCAGTGTGTTTACTGCTGCCATTGCCGTTCGCGGCGGCACTAATGTTGCTGGCTGGTGTGGCATTCGTTTTGTTTATCACAGTTGTTGGCTGTGGACGAGTCCGAAAGGGGATTGGTCAGTAAAGTGGTCAAGATTAAGTCCTAGATCAAGATTCATTGTTTGCTATTAGGATCCTAAGGATCACCTAATGACTTAACCAAGGCATGCCTTGGAGGGGGTGCTATAATACTGAACATCCCTGAATAATATTCTTATTTTGGAGCCTGAGTTTAAGTCTGAGTTTAACCCTTAGCTACCTTCTATACCTGCTAGTTCTTTAGGCAAACTTGGCTCTGAAAAACACAACTGGATCCAAATATGGTATTATGATATATCACCATCTTTCGATACTCAGGGGGCCTTGGCAGGTGGTTTAGGGTTCAATCTAATCCAGACGTTGGAAATCCTCATAGATACATGAGCTAAAAACTATATCTGTATTTACTTAACATTTTCTATTACTTCTTTTATTTTTTTCAATTTATAATGATAATGAGATGAGATCTTATTATGAGAACCAAGTATATTTTTCAAATAGACTCTAGTAGCTCCAGCGAAAGTCACTTAATATTCCCAAAAATATTAAATATCTTATTAGTTGCTATAAGTATGAGTACATTTATATAGCTCAACAGTCGACTATATTGATGACTTGATCTACCTTCAAATTCTATCCACTTAAGGTCACATTTTGATTGCATTAATCTTTCTTATCTTTTTTGACCATTAACCTTTCTAGTCCTGAAGATTTATATCATCTCTTTATATAAAGTCCTTATGTCTTTAGTTTCATCATACAGTTCTCTTCTTCGAAAGCATATGACTTTATGAATCTAAATAGCATAAGCAGGTGCATATATAATACCGTCTTCGTTATTATATTTAGAATAGAATCTTTGGTGTGTCATAAACTTCCCAGATTCTTAAATTTTTTAGAGATAATATCAACAATACCATATTTAATCGGTTTATATAGACATGACTTATGATATATGGTACATTGGAAAGATGGTTAGTCTCGACTCCTAAAATGAATTTAGCTCTAAAGACAACATTTTTCCGAGAAGGGGTTTCGCGAAGAACTAGAAAAAATGTTCCTATTTGTTCAGCTCCTAGTGCCACCTCCTGGTTAGACCACTCCTCCCCGAGCAAACCCCAAGAAAAAACCATAAAATGCTGTTGTGAAAACCTAGTCGGCAGCCACACAGAACGTATCCTTACCCCAGTGGCACAGACGGGGGCTGCCTCGAACAGGATGGTGGTGCCGTTGCGACCACTGGATGCTGTTGTCAGATGCTGTTGTCCTGCGGCGCCGGCTGCTCCTGCACCTGGTGCGGTGGTTGCGGGCGTGGATGTGGATGTGGCGTTGGGGGCCAGGCAAACGGCTGGAAAGCAAAAACAACAAAACCGATTCAGTTTTAATCTATGGAGTGTGAGTCCGAGTGCGAGTGCGAGTGGGTGCTGTGAATTAAATTGCATAACAATCGCGGCAAGGTCCCCCATTCCCATTCCCAAGCATATGCAAAACTTGATCCACATTCCGGAGGAGAGTCAGAGTCATGCAAATGTTGATTCTTTTTTCATGGCTTCCAAGGAAAATCGAATCAAGATCGTATCGAGACACACCTTTGTCGGTTGCTTGTGGAATGCTCTGTTGCTGCTGCTGCTGCGGCTGCTGGTCTGTTGGCGTGTCCCTCTGAAGGTTGAATCGCTTGCTGATGTCGCTGAGACGCTTCTGTAACTCAATTTTTTGTTTCGCCAACAGCTCCACCTCCGCCTCCTGCTCCCGATTGCGCGCCGTCAGTTGCTGCCAATGGACATTAAAGGGAGGATGTTATAGAGGTTGGCTTCCAAAACCCAAGAAGAACTCGCCACTCACCCTGACATATTTGTGGGCCGTATCGAGTATGATCAAGTTGGAGGTCTTCTTGCGGTCCTCGTCCTTCATGGGGAGCTCCTTCTTCAGCTGGTCGTAGCACTCCTTCAGCTGGGCGCGCCGGTTCTTCTCCAACTTGTTGTGCACTTCCCGAGTGCCAGCTCTGCCGTTGCAAAGAAATATTTTCAGTCAAAAAATCAAACTCCAAGTGAAAGAAAACCAAATACTCACCCGTTGCTGTTGGAACTGGTGGTGCGCCTTCGTCCCAGGTGGGCGGGTTGGGTGTGGGCGGTCAGCTGGGAGCCGGCGGGGGCGGAGGAGGCGACGTTCATGGCTGCGGAACCAGCCACTGCTCCCACACCGGCGCCCGGTATCGCTCCCGCGCCCGTTCCCGCACCAGCGCCCGCAGCGGCCACCGCGGCGATCGTCTGGACGTTGAATATCGAGCGGAAGGGCAGGCCGGTGCTGGCGCCGCCACTGCCGCTCCGGACATAGGCGCCCAGGCCCAGGCCGGCCTGAAAGTGGTGCGCCTCCTGGCCGGGTGCTGAAAATTTATGGGAGGAGAGTGAGTAGGAGCGGGTGCGCGTGTCGCCCACCTTCCGCGTGGGCATTGGGGGCGGGGTCAGGGTGAAGCTCGATTTTCCCAGGCCCAAGTGTTGCCGCGACTGCGATTGCGATTGCTCCTGCTGGGGATAACTTTGCAGGTCTTGCAAGTGGAGATACTTTTCCGGTATCTCCACCAGGGTGCCCTTCCAGGTGGCAGGGAGCTTGTGCTTCAGAGGATTTGTGGTGGCGGATGGTGGCACCAACAAAACGGCAGGGCGACTTCCCGTGGGGGAGTGGTTGGGAGAGTTGTTCGCGGGTGGCGACGGCTGAGATGGTGAGGCGGATGAGGAGGGCGAGGCGGTACCGGAAGAGCTTGGGGAATTGCTTCCTCTTCCTGCTCCAGCTGCTGCCCCTGCCCCTGCACCTGCCCCAGCCCCAGCGCCGGCTGTTGTTGCGGCTGCTGCTCTGCCTGTTGCATGTTGCGGGGGGTGGTGGATGATTCTGTTGCTCGAGGAGGTATCGTCCTCTATTTCAAGCCGAACAGTATGCGAGAAACGAAACGAAAAATAACAGAAAATCAGAGAAAATCATAAATTGTGGCGGAAAAGAGGAAATTAAAGAAAAATTCAAGGAAATGGATGGGAAAATGCAAGTGACGGGGTGGGGGTGAAGTGGCAAGGAACTAGCTCCCAGTTACTAGAAGAACCCCAAAAGCCCTAAGAATGCATTCGTCTGCCAGAACTTCCCATCGAGAGGCTTTTGGAAAATTTTAACTTTCTTTAAATATTTAATAAAACTTGACTTTTTAATAGTTTTTTTTAGACTTAAAATAATATTTAAATTAATTTTTAAAGAAAGTTCAGAATTAAAAGATTTCCTTTTCATAGTTAGACAGAAACTTTTGTTCTAAAAATTGTTTAAATTAAAAAAAAACAAATGTTAAAAAAAAATTAATTATTGATAAAAACAATTTTACAGCTCTTCCAGGTCTTATTTGAATAGATCTTTATTTTTAACATATCATAACACATAAAGACAACAAATAATTTGGGCCTTCATGAAATTCGTCACCTACGTACATAAGTGAACTGTGAGTGAACAATATTTTAGTTTTCAAATGTAGCGTTATTTTGTCTTTAAAAAAATTAAAAAAAAAAAAAACTCATGAATTCTTTTTCAGGATAATTGATTAATTTATTCTTGAAGCTATAATGTAAGCTATATAAGCTATGTAGATGCAGGTGAAGATCCCTTTTATTTTAAGAGTTTACTACATAATTTGATTTTATTTCTTTGTCATTTTTATTAAAAATTTAATTTACTCTATTTTCTAAGCTTACAATTTTAATAATTTTTCTCGAATGAAATTCCCCAAACTCATCTTGTTAATTGTACTTTAATAGAATTAGCGTAAGCTTCCTGCAATTATTCCAACTTGTAACCACAAAATGCGAAACGGAAAACAAAAACTAAAATTAAATTTAAATAAATCAGAACACAAAGGGCGCAGAGCACAACAAAACAAATATTTAATGAATGTAAATGAATTCGGGTTAAAGACAACAAGCAACAAAAGCAACAAAAGCAACAAAGGCAACAAAGGCAAAAGGCAGCAATCAGAGCTCGATGAAGGTCCTTTAGTGGGTTAATTATACATGATTAGTGGGTGGTGGAGTGGTGGAGTGGGTGTGCGTGTGTGCCTGTGTGTTAGTAATGAATTAATTACGCATTCGTGGAAAACCCCAATGCGAAATTCCATTAAAACAAATCCGACAGCACCACCCTCACAAAGAAGGAAAAAAAAATAAAAATAAAAGGAAAAACTGTAGCAACGAGTCGCATTTTGTATGCAATATTAATGATTTATTTCCCTTAGTCATTTTTTTAAGGTATGTAGGTAGGTACCCCCCTTAGGAAAAGTGAGACACGTGTGGCAGACCGCAGGAAAGGGATTGAATTTTCCACAAAAACAAAAATGCGGTTAGGCAGCATTTAAGAGTCATCCAGAAGAGCTTTAAATATTTAAAAGTACCTCGGAATACGCTACCGGTGCTGTTATTTAGTTAAAGTAACTAAATAATTAACCAATTATTGGGTTAATTATTTTATATTAAATTCTATCAAAAATCTAAGACCTATTCTCTTAGTAGATTTACTTTGTTTCCCAAAACAGTGATTTATTTGTTGCACAGCTTTCGTCACTAACATTTTTCAAACCTAAGACCTGATCATCTTTAATCATGTTTCAATCTAGATTTGTCTAAAAATCATTATTTAATTAAAACAAAACATAAACCTTTAAAAGATACATTTTTTAAAATTTTTAGATTTATATTTTGACTATTTTTTATATTTTATTTATTATAAGTTTCTATTTAAATCCTTTTCTTTTTATAAACTTGTTTTTTTCACAAAATAGTGATTTATTTTTTGAAAAGCTTTCGTCACTAACATAGCACTAATTTCGTTTTAAATCCTAAGACCTGATTAGTTTGTTTAAAAATCAATAGTCTTTTAAATCAAAACATTTACCTTTAAAAGATATATTTTTTAGATTCAGATTATAGATTTAGATTATTTTTTTCTAAAATCCTAATTTAATTTCCAAAAACCTCCTTTTTCTATATTTTTTGAAGCGACTTTTCGATAGCATACTTATTAGATGGATTATTCACGACCATTTCTCTCTTTTCTCGCTTTTACTGCGCCCGTCTCTTTGTTTTCTCTTTTCCAACTGATTACACATGCTGGCCCCCTTGCCGCACCTCCCCCCACCCCTTTCCAATATGTTTGGTGTAACGCCCACATCACAGTGCCACGTGATGGAAGCGCACGTGGCTGCAACAGACACACAACAATAGCGGCAAACTGTAGTTAACCCTTGTTATCACACACTCTACTCTCTCAGTCTCTCCCACAAAATACAACTACAAAAAGTGGGAATAATAATAATAAAAATAAATAAAATCATGCGACACACATGCGACAATCGCGGGAAAAAAGTGGCACTTTAATTTCAGAAATAAATCACGTATACGCCCAGTCAGCTCTCCTTTCGTTTGTTTTTCTTGAACTCCTGGGTACAGTGTCATACCATAACCGTAATGCCTGTGTATCCACTTCTTTTTGGGCGAAGATGGCACTTTAGAGTTGAAAGGTGGACACTTTTCTCCCAGTTTTTGTTGTTGTTTCTGCTGTTCGAGCAGCAAACTTTGCAAAGTACTCAGTTGTTTCAGCAATTCGGCGATAAGTTGATCTTTTTTCTCTTGTTGTTGTTGTTTTTGTTCGTTATAACGGTTCAAAGTATGGTGCATCGTACAAGATATTACGGTAAAAATTGTATCGGAAAATTGCCGTTTTCCCGTCCGCGACTCGAGCGCGAATGAAAAATCAACAGCGAGGAGAACCAAAGAAAATCAGAGTTGCAAGAAATTTGCATTTTCGAGAGAAAATATTTGCATTTTCTTGGAGGACAAACAACAACAAACGGAATGCTGCATATTTTTGCATATTACAGTAAAGTGATTTTTTTCTAAGGAAATGCAGGAAAAACAAACTTTTTGTGGCCTGCTTTTTGGCGCTCAAGTTTGTTGGTTTTTGTTTTTTTTTTATCTAACAATAATGAAATAAGCTCATCTGACAGTGAAAAAAAAGACAACAGGAAAAGGGAAGCACCAAAGAAGAGAAAGAAAGCAAGAAAGAGAGGCAAACAAAACAAAAGACACAGCTGTCTAAATATTACCACTAACCATACAGCATATAGACAACCCATTTCATACAACGAAAATGGACGCGAAAATTTCTTGCTACAGGCCCCAGCAGGCCCCAGAGCGGATTTCTTACGCTCTCTTACGCTCATCGTTCGTTCATCTTACGCTCATTCTCGCATTAAATGTTTTCTGTTTCTCAGTCTCTAAACGGAGCGCGATGAAGAAGGTTGGCCTGCGCTTCGGTTGATCTTTGTATGTATGCGTGTCACACATTCACATACATGGGTGTATGTGTGCGTGCGATTTCGTTTCGAAGCCAGCGCACAAAATTTTGATTTTTCTTACTTTTAAGGCTTGCTACCCTAACAAAATTCGGGTATTCGTTATTTGATGAAATGACGAAAGAAATTATATTATTTTGTATATTATATTTTTTTATTATTTCAGCATACATTTTTAATTTATTTAGGAATAAGATTAAGTGTTAGTAGTAAAATGTTTTCTGTATATATATTTTTACGAATCATTAAAAATCAATATACTGAGAAAGTGTCAGAGTATATTTCGGTCGGAGTCACTTAAAGCGCCGATTGCTTTTAAGTTTTTGTTGTTCTGCAAGAGGCTTGTGCATGCCTACTCTAACGATGGAATGATTTTTAGGGGAGGGTGAAGACGGGTGAAGAATTAAATTACTTTTTAAAGTTATTATATATAAGGAAATATATATAAGGAAATTATTAAATTAACGACAATAATTTAATTAAATCTCACAATAACCCAAAATATAATAACAAGTGCCTGAAAAATTGTAAACAAAAAAGGTAAACAAGTCCATCAGCTGTTTTCGTGTCTTCACCCTCCCCTAAAAATCATTCCATCGTTAGAGTAGGCATGCACAAGCCTCTTGCAGAACAACAAAAACTTAAAAGCAATCGGCGCTTTAAGTGACTCCGACCGAAATATACTCTGACACTTTCTCAGTATATTGATTTTTAATGATTCGTAAAAATATATATACAGAAAACATTTTACTACTAACACTTAATCTTATTCCTAAATAAATTAAAAATGTATGCTGAAATAATAAAAAAAAATAAAATAAAAATAATATAATTTCTTTCGTCATTTCATCAAATAACGAATACCCGAATTTTGTTAGGGTAGCAAGCCTTAAAAGTAAGAAAAATCAAAATTTTGTGCGCTGGCTTCGAAACGAAATCGCACGCACACATACACCCATGTATGTGAATGTGTGACACGCATACATACAAAGATCAACCGAAGCGCAGGCCAACCTTCTTCATCGCGCTCCGTTTAGAGACTGAGAAACAGAAAACATTTATTGCGAGAATGAGCGTAAGATGAACGAACGATGAGCGTAAGAGAGCGTAAGAAATCCGCTCTGGGGCCTGCTGGGGCCTGTCGCAAGAAATTTTCGCGTCCATTTTCGTTGTATGAAATGGGTTGTCTATATGCTGTATGGTTAGTGATATTACACATGTAACGCAAAATACAAAAAAAAAATTAAAAACTACAATAACAAATGAAATGTACAAGTGTGAAGAAAATAAACATAAAACATAAAAGAAAGGCCAAGTAATAATATATGAAATGGGCACGAAAAAACAGGCACCCGACAAAAACAACAAAAAATGCGTACAAAGTTCATTGACTTTGTCTTACAGCAGGCAGACAAAAAAAAGAGAGCCGCCGTAAGAGAGTTCTGAGAAAAAAAAAAACCCAACCTAAGAGAGTTTCTGTTCACGTGGGCCAACTTGCACTCTGTTGCTCTTTCTGTTATTTTTTTGCGCTCTCTCCTTGCAAGCTATGACTAATTTGTGCGGAAAAGAGAAAGAGCACCAGGGGGAGAGAAAAAGAGCCACAACATGACGTGACCCCAAACAACAACAACAGCAACAAGTACAAGCGTACGTGCGAAAAAATACGAATAAGCGCATGACAAAGGCGAAAACACAAACAAAAAAAAACACTCACAAGAGTTGATGAAAAAAAATAAAATTCGGGGGAAAAAAAAGATGAAACGAGCCCAGCCAAAGCAAGTGAAAACAAAATACGCAAGATACAGTAAAATAGCTTTAAAATTTCATATTTTTGATGATTTTTAACCATATTTTTGAGATTTTACTTTGTTGCTATTTTTTTTTGTTATATGTTAGTCAAGGCAACAGAAACAAAAAAAAAAAAACAAAAGAAGAAAAAACAAAAAAAACAGAAACAACAACGCAGCATGACAATTTAGCACATGCCAATTGGACAGCGACGCTGACGTCGACTGCGGCAGCAGAGCGCGCTAAAAATATAACAGTACCTGCTGCTTGCCACGCTTGCAACCTGTGCCAAGAGAGCAACAAACAGAGAGAGAGCGAGTGAAGGAGAAGCAATAAGGTGAAGAGTGGTCATTTTGTTGCTTATTGGGGTTTTTATTTTATTTTATATTATTCCATTTATTTATTTATTTATTTTTTTTTTTTGTGGTACAGTGCGCGCCCACGCAAAGTGCAGTCGACGTCTGCGTTGGCGTTGACGTTGGCGTCGCAAACAAGGTCAAAACAAGTTTAAATGCAGCAGCAAAAGCCAATGGAAAAACATTATTATTTTGTTTGTTTTTTTTTATTTTTTTTTTTGAGGATAAGGCGACAAGAGCGTCATTATCAAAATAAAAAACAAAGAGAACAAAAAATTTGCATTGAAATAAACCTATTTTTGCAATCGCACCATTTTTGTTGCCACCAATTGCAAATCAATCATAAATTGGTCAGTTTGACGATATCTCGAATTGGGGTTTTTTATTATCACAGCCATGGCTCCAAAAGTGCAGGCGACAAGAACGTAAAGACCCATTTCCCCACAGGTATACGTACATAGACAGGCGACAAAAGTAAAATATTAGAACACAAGCATTACATTCCATATTTAAAAAGCATTTCCTTTGGGAAACTTTGGTCGGGTGGACGAGCCCCACCAACAACAGTTAACAGTTAGCAGCAGAGCAGAACAGTGAAGCGCAGTCAACAGCGGCTGGGTCTTGTTGTTGTTGTTGCACTTGGAAAGAAAACTGTTACAAGAGCCGCGGGCAAATAGCAACACTTGGACGGAAAATTCGGGAAGTTTCGATTAATATGGGGGATGGTTATGGAAATGTTAGTGATTTTTTTTTAAATCGATAGTTTTATAAAAAGTAGATTTTTTAGTTTTGATATTTTAACTAAAATATCGACTTTTGATTAAAAAATATCGACTTTTATGAATTCCATAGTGAATGATTTTTGAAAGAGTGTTGGTTTTGGGCGCTTTTGGGGGGTTTTGGGGACTTACCCGAGATGATGGTGCGACCTTCGCTGTGCCCGTTGCTGACAGCGCTGCCGCCGACAACGTACTCCTCTCCCACGCCGCCGCGCGTGTTGCAGTGGCCATTGGTTAGACCGTTTACGTTACCGAAGATCCCGACTCCGTTGCTGCCACTTCCATTTCCGTTCGTTAACGATGGTGTGGCAATAATACCGTTACTGCTGCTGCTGCTGTTCCTATTCAGCTGACTCGTGCTGTTGTTGTTGTTGATGTTGGTGCTATTGTTGTTGTTGTTGATGATGGAAATTGTTTTTCCGTTGGTTAGAGAGCAGTGCAGCGACGGCTGTTGCGGCAGCTGCTGGGGCAGGGCCACGCCCACTCCGACGACACCGTTGCCGCCTCCCGCCTGCAGGAGCTTCTCATTCTGCTCGAGTAAGTAAGCCGCCTGAAGGAGCGCCTTGATGCCCCCGCTCCCTGACATAGCATACAACAACAACGCACACGCTCTCTCTCGCTGACTCTGGCTCTCACGCACACCTGCACACGAATTACGCACGGCACGGCCAAAACACGCACACAGACACACACACACACGCACAGTACGAAAGCACGACGCTTACACAGACAGCGACACGGCTGGTTCAGGTGGGAGAGCGACACACACACACACAGAGGGAGAGCGGAGAAAGAGCGCTGGCTGGTGAGTGGGAGGTGAGGAGCTTTGTTGTAATCGCGGCACTTTACTGTTGTGATGTGGAGCGGTAGTTGTTGTTTCTTTTACTTCTCGACTGATGGTGATGGGTTGGCTTGTTGCAAGAGCGTAGGTTTGTTGTTTGTTATTGGCTTTAAGGTTGTAGAACGTAATGTTTGTTTTAAAATTTTTGTTTCTTGGTTGTTTGTTTTTAAAGACGTGGTTTAGCTTCGGTGGATGTTGCAGTTTTGATTTTGGTGTTTGTTGGGTAAACTGTAAAGAATGAAAGAAAGAGAAGTTTTAGTAAGGAACTAATAGGAAAATATTTCAAAACAAATACACAAAAAAAACAATTTTCTTCAACATAGTAGTTCTTCAACTTATAGTATTTCATAATATTTCTCTTTGCACCATTTTGTACGGTACATTTTGTATAGCTTTTCTGTCTCCCCCTCTCTCTCTCTCCGGTTTCATAAAGTCATCGTCACCATCAGCAGCTGTTGCATTTGCGTTTGCTTTTGTTTTTGCTTTTCTTTTGCTTTTTTGCGCTAATTGTGCACAGCTGCGTGGCGACGGCGGCCGTAGAAACAACAACAATAACAAAAACAAAGGCCAAAGAAAAAACAAACAAACAAATAAATACGGAAAGAACGGGACTAAAAATATATGAAGGAAAGGGGATGGGGGAAGAGGCAGATGATTGAAGAAGAAGAAGAAGCGGCAGCAGCCCCAACCAACAAGTTGCAGTCGGAAGAGAAAGAGATGGAACTAATCAAATGAAATAAACAGGAAAATGCGGGGGCGGAAGAAAGTCAAAAGAAAAGAAGAATTGATGAAAGAAGAACGATTGGCGCGTGCGCGCAGCTTCTCCCTCTCTTCCTTTTCTTTTCCGTCAGCTGCTGGTTTTTCATTCCAGTGTGTGTGTGTGTGTGTGTGTTTGGGGCATTCAACTGAGGGGCAAAGCCATTGAAGAGAGAACACATAATGCTGCATTGTCTTTGCTGTTGTTGTTGTTGTTGGTGTCATAATTGATATAAAAGGTCAAGGGTCGCCAGCCACAGCGAGAGCAAGGCGGCAGGAGAGTCGAGTTGCAGCCGGCGTTATTTACACAGCAGCTGGCTCCCTCTCTCACTTACACGCGCGAACACTCTCAAAGGCTTTTGTTGTCTCGCCGCCAAAAAAAAACCAGAAAGAGCGTGAGAGAGAGAGCGGAGTGGAAGCGAGTTGGTAAATAGAGAGCGGCCGAGAGAGCTTCGAAAAGTCCTTCGAATGACGCTGCCTTGACATTAAACGCGCTTTTGATGGCCAACCTCCTCATCATTCTCTCTCTCTCTCGGTCACCCTACGCCCACTTCATTACATCCCACCCCCTTATTATCGCACTCTTCCCACCCACAAGAAATACACTTTATCAACAATTGGATTATCTCCATTATCACTTTTGCAGAGTCGGTCAGTTATCGGGAGAGTTTCTTTAGTTTTGATTCAAGAGGTGTCTATTATTAAATCTATTCTTTCACTATTTTTATTATTTATCCATTATGATAAGTATTTCCATCTGCATCCCCACTTTCCTTGTTTTTTTTTGTTTTACGGGGTGACATGTTTCCTGACAATCCAAAGCCTGAGAGACCCCGGAACCCACGGACCCGACAATGGCAAAAAAATAAAAGCAAGTAGGTAAGTGGAAAGTCTGTTCAAGTCGCATAATATTATACCCTACCTTTAGAAGAATATTAAAATTGTAGAAAGGAGACTTTACAAAAAATAGGTTTCTTGAATGAATTTAAAATTTTAGAAAATCTGTATGATAGTGTAATGATAGTATGATGGTAATTTTAAAGAAGAACCCCTCCAAACCTAGCTGACCTTTCAACAAAAAGAGTATTGTATTTCGAGGAAAATCGCAGTAATTGCCCGAGACACCCACGCAACCTCAAACCAATCTAAATTTTCGGCATTGGGTATAAATAATACGGTATATATGTATCATATTCCGACTACTACCTGAAATGCAACCCAGAAATCGACCCCAAAAAAGAAATAACAACAAAAACGGGATAACGGAGAAGGAAAAAAAATAGGGAGGAGAAGAAGTAAGGTAAAGGTAAAGGTAAAGGTGTCCTGGGCGGAGGGGCAGGGGATAATGGGGTAGGTGAAATCCACCCCAAGGGGTCGGGCTTCAAGAGGAGAGTCGAGTCGAGGACCAGAAATACCCTGACGGCCCATTGCAAGGCATTCAAGGTTCGCTTTGGATTTTGGAACTGGAGACAGTGAAGCCAGGATAAGAGGGATATGTGTAAAGGGTGGTTTCTGAATAATAATAAATAATATACATATGACCATTTAAAACTTTTAAGAAATATCCACTTTTTTAGTCTCCCCTGTACATGTAAAATGTAAGAAAGAAAAAAAAAAGAGAGAAAAAGGAAACCGGAACAGGACTCGTGGAAGAGGGGTGGACTCGAAGCAAGAAAGAGATTCCCCCCCTTTACCCCCCTCTATCAAATAATCACATAAAACACTTCAGACCCAGTCTCAAAAGTCAAAATGCAAAAGTTGAAAAGGTAAAAGGTAATAGGTGAGTGGTGAAAAGGAGAAAAAGAACGCGAGAACGCGGTTGAAAAATTAATGAAACATTTTGCGGTTGATTTGAGCCAAGAACCAAGGGGGGAGGGGGAGGGGAAAGGCAAGAGAAACTGAGAAAGAGAAATGTGTAATTCGAGGAAGCTATTTAAGGCCCGATTCACTCGAGAAGAGTTAACAAGGTAACTTAATATTTCCAATGTTTTTTTTTTAAATCGAAGGAACTTTTTGTATTTCAAGGACACTTGTATGGTCTCTGATTTGATTCAATTTCCCTCTATTTCAGTTAAAAAAAAAATAAAATAAAATAAAAAAGCTTTCAGAGAGCCAAGCAAAAAGAAAGTGAATTTCGGTGAAAATCATCATCAAAATGAAACAAAAAGGAGGAAATAGAAACAGAATAACAAAAGCAACAGACAAAAACAACAAAACAGTTCTGAAGCTTTAGGTTTCTCTCTTTCCGCTCTCATGACATTACTCTCCCTCGCTGTGTTTCTCTTCCTGCTTTTCCCTGAGCGCCCACTACGCACTTTCTTTGCATTTCTTTTCCTACTTTTTTTTGTAGAAAAAAGGCGCTTTTCGTCATGTGTGTTATTGTTGCTAATTTTTCGAAATGAAGAGTGATGAAGCGTGCAAAAAAAACACACACACATGCGAATAAACGTTTAAAAATAGCCGAAAATGGAGGAAAGTCTCTGGCATTTTTACACACACTGGTGTTGGTGACTTTTCCCCGAAAACCCCAACTTTTTGGGGAAAATATTAGGAATTTTTTTATATCCCAGGAAGTGGCTATCAAAAGTTTTTCCTTTGAAAAATATTACATTTTTAATAAAATTTTAATTCTTTTTTTTAACTTTATAATGTACGTATGTATATCCAATTAACTTTCAAAAATTTGTTTATTTGCTTAAATAATAGTACTAAGAGATCTAAAAAAAAGCTTAAAACACAGACACACACACATATACACAACATACGAGAGCTGACGCGGGAGCATTAAAATACTAAGCCCAATATGACTTTTTTTCCATTATTATTTATTTTTCGTTTCACCTACTTTGGGTTGTGGGTTTGTTTTTTGGTGAAGCACTTGTTGAAAAAAAATAAACTCGAAAAAAATTGTATGCTTGTTTTTGGCTTTTTGAATTTTTGTTAATTATTTTTTTTAACTGACGCAACTTTAGACGCAACGTCGACGGCGACAGCGACTGCGACGCGCACGCTACGGCTAAACAACGGGAAATGAGAAATGAAGCGAGCTGACAAAATGCCAAGGCAGCGGAGCCCTCGCTGCCGCCGCCGACGCACCAGAGCGCGCGAGAGCCCTGACATCAAGCCAAAGAGAACACGGGCTGCCGTAGTCGAGTGTCGCGAATCGTTGATGCCCTGTAGCGGTGCTTTCTTTGGTATCTTACATCTTAAGAATTAAATTCCGGATTAAGATACGGTTAATGTATTTTTTTAACTTGGCTTTCAAAACAACTTTAATGATCACCTCTCTTACTAGTTACAGCATACAACCCTTGCGAGTGCAGGGTAACAAAAACGAAGAGCAACAGCGCTAAGAGCGCGCCAAAGAGAACCATAGAGCAGCAGTCACGTAGCATGGAACTTGCTTATTATTATTTTTTTTTTTGTTTTGTTTGCGTATGTGTGTGGGGGCGAAAAGTGTAGAAGGCAAGAGACGGCAGAAAAAAGCACGCGCTCCTCTGTAAAATCGCTGTTTTGTTGTTTTTGTTATTTTTGTTTTTGTGTGCATGGCAGATGGCGTGGAGAAAAAAGAACCAAACCAAACCCAACCCCACCCTCTCTCTCTCACACACTCTTCCCAAAATCACAAAAAAGAGCACATGCTAAAAACAAAGCTTACAAAAAATAAAATCAAAAACTGGTCTTGACAAAAAATAAATCCCAAATGCAAGGCAAAAAAAAAAAAAAAACTTCAAAGCAAAAATCCAGTAAACACACACTTCGAGCCTCAAGTATCGGGCAAAAACAATATACAAAAAAAAACAACACACACACTAACACACTTGCAGAAAACTTTTCGCACTTTGCACCGAAATTTGCTCACTATTTACCGTTAGAATTATTAAGCACTCTTCTTCTTCTTCTTGGGCTACGTGTAGTTGCACTTAACGTGAAAAAATAAAGGCAAGCGATTTGTTGGTTTCGGTTTGAAGTTTATTCCGTTTTTGGGTTTCAGCTCTGTTTTTGTCTGTTTTGTGTATTTCTTATGCCATGACAGAAAACTAAATGCGGCCGCAGCTCAATGGCTTTAACTGCTGCTGCTGGTGCTGGTGCTGCTGCTGCTGTCTGGCCGACGTCGCAGTCGCTGCTGGCGGCAGCGCAGCATTCGCAAAACAACAACAACAGAAGCAACAAAGGCAAAACGCACATAACACAGTGCAGCGAACGCGAAAAGAGAGCACGGTCTGCGAGAGAGTGCGAGCAAACGAGTCAAAAGCGCGGAGCCAGCCAGTGCGGGGGTGACGGCGCGAGAAGAGTAAGAGGAGCAGAGCGCGAGAGAAACAAGAGCTGGGCGCAAAAAGAAGAGAGCGCACGTGACGCGTTGCGTGCGCCCTCGTACGTACGTAGCAGCCAAGTACAGCAAAAGTCATAACACATAAAACCACAAGCACTCACGAGACACCTCCACATTTTTGCACACCATTTCGTTTGTAAATAATAATAAATATTTATTTGTTTATCCAATCCGCTCATGCAACTTAATCCATGAACTGCATCTTTGCTTTATTGGAGCTATAAAAATTACCATAACTGTATGCACGCATGTTTGGTTGTCTCCCCGATTGTTGTTGTCTGTTGCTCTTCTCGAGCTTGTGCAGTAGGAAGAAGAAACAGGAAGAAAATAACAACAATAACAACGGGAAGTACGTGTATGTGTGTGTGTGTATTTTTTAACAAACAAGAAATTTCAAGAATAAGTCTACTAACTTAGCTTTTCCTATACTTTCTGCAATTTTTAGATACGTATCTGTAAGATATATTTTTTTTTAGTTATCCAGTCTAAGATGCTGCAGTCTCGCTGCCTCTGCCTCTCGGTCCGCCGCTGCCGCTGCTAGAGTCAATGTTGGCTGCAGAGCCGCTCTTTTACGTCTACTTCTTCTGTTCCATCTTCTCCCTTACCAGCTTTTATGCTGGGCTTCTTCACACTCGTTCTCATTCTGATTCTCATTTCTCGGCTTGCTGCGTCATTGTTTCTTCCACGGCAACATTGCCACCGCTTCCTACCCAGCCCACCGCTCTTCTTCCCCTTCTTGACTCCCTTCTTCCGCGTCCATCGACCATCGCCCATCGCCACCCTCCCCAAACCACCTTTTGATTCTGCCTCAGTGGACGTCGCTGCCACTATTTGTGCACTGTTTCGAGCACGTACAGTGAGCTTACGATATGGTGGAACAGAGAAATTATTAATTTCTGCTTAATAAATATTAGGGAATCAAAATGATTATTAATTATCAAAAAAACAATATTATTATTTTTTATTTAAAACGAACACACTGAGGTGAAAGAGTGAGAAATATACCACCCTGGAGGATTCTTCCTCTTTGTAATTTGTACTTTGTAAAATATAATTTGATTATTTGATAAAAATCATATTATTTATGATTAAAAAACACTTAATTATTATTATTATTATATTATTATAATATTATTTATTTTAATTATTATTATTTATTATTTAATATTTAAAAATAATTATAGTATTTAATAAGTACTATGATATAATTTTTTTATATTTATTTATCAAAAGTTAAAACTCTAATCAGAATAGTTTTGTAGTTAGTAGTAGTTAAAAAAATTATTTTAAAAATGATTTTTTGAAGTATAATATGGAAATATGTGTTTTATTCTTAAAAGGATATAGACTATTAAAAGGATCAACATATTTTAATTTCATGTATCTGATTAAAATATAAAATAGAAGGACAATAAGAACTTTAAGGTCCTTGACTACAATATCTCCTTAATTTCATTGACTACAATATCCCGTTAATTTTATTTTAAACCTCACCTCCTTGTGAGGCTTTTCTAACCTAGTTCCTTACTTCCTTGCCTTCCTTATTAATAAATTAATTATCTATGAATTAGTGACTTAATAAATAATTGTGAATCAAAATTGGCTTTCTAAAATAATAAATATTTTTAAGTAACAATTAACTATAGTAGCTAAGTAATAATTAAAAAAAAAATAAACTAGTTATGATTCTACATATCACGCCTCTTCTTTTCCTTTTCCTTTGTATAGTGTATTCACTGTAGTGGCTCTGCCCTCCCAAATGTTTGCTCGCTTCTGTTGGAGTTGCTGTTGTTTGTTGTTTTCGTTTCTGTTATATACATACATGTGCTTGTATGTATGTCTGTGTGTGTGGATATGTTGCTGGTGTTGGGCTTTTGTTATTGTTATGATGCGTCGACTGCGACGGACGCGTCGGCAATTTCGAAACGTGCTGGCATTTGTGTGGAACGGAACTTGTTTTGATATGCATGGCTTGCTCTGCCGGCGTCGACGCAGCGAGAAGCGACTGCACCAGCAGCAGCGACGGCCGTGGCAGAGGCTGAGGCAGCTGCCCAAAAAACCTGAGCCCTGGGCAAAAGTTGCAGCATGCCACAGAACGGTGCAACAGAAAATAACGCAGCAAATTGTTTGTTTTCATAATTCTTCTTGCATTCCATTTTGCCCCACTCGTTCGCGAGCGGAGAGACAGCGGAGCGGGGCAGCAGCAGGGAAGAAGAGGAAACGTAAGCCCAAGCAACAATGTTGCTGACGCAGTTGCAGCATCCGAAAACAACAAAAACAACATTCACTGCAAGCATAAAGCGACAACAACAACAACAATGGGAGAAACACCTATTGGACAGCAGAGTTCATTGTACTTTTTTGGGTCTCTGTGTGACGTGTTTTTCGCGGCCTCCACACCCTTGTTCGTTCCTCCCCTCTTCCATTTCGTCTTTTATCACCTACATACCTATCGCCAGTCCGCTCACTTCCCTTGCATTATCATATGCGCTTTATTTTGGCTTTTGTGTGCCTTGCTTCTCTTCTCTTTCTAGGTCAAAATTTACAATTTGGATACTGGGGGGTAGACCCCAAAAGCAACAAAAAACCCAAAACAACAAAGTTATCTTTGTAGCACTACTAACTGGTACACTAAGGCACTACTAAGGACTTCAAAAAGTCCCCAGTCTGCTAGGTTACAAAGATAATACATTTTACGTTTGCATATCACCTATGAGGTCAACCGATCCTTATGGGTATTCTTATTCGGAATCTGAAGAATCGGTTCAGAGACTTAGGTTATCGTACTATCTAATCCTGTTATCCTATTCTACTGTCCTATTCTACCATTCTATCGCTCTATCCTATCCTACTACCTTATCCCCCTATCCCATTCTACTATCCTATCCCTTTATCCTATCCCTCTATCCTATTCTACTATCTTACCCTACTGTTTTATCCTACTATCCTTTCCTACCATCCTGACCTACTATCTTATCCTGCTATTCTATCCTACTATACTATCCTACTATACTATCCTACTATACTATCCTACTATACTATCCTACTATACTATCCTACTATACTATCCTACTATACTATCCTACTATACTATCCTACTATACTATCCTACTATACTATCCTACTCTCCTATCATACCATCCTATTTTAATATCATATCGTTCCATCCTGAACTACTATCCTAGCCTAGCCTATCCTATCCTTCTCATTCATCCTACCTTCTTTCACCCTTCCTTTCTCTCTATCTTTTCTTACTATCATGTCCTACCATTCTATCCTACTCACTCATCTTACCTTCCTATCCTACTAAGTTATCCTAATATCTTATCCTTCTATCCTATCCCACTATTCTATTCTACTATCCCATCCTACTATCCTAGTATCCTATCCTACTGTCCTATCCTTTTATCCTATCCTATCTTCCTATTCTATCCTACTATCATAGGTCCTCACAAGCTAAATAATAAAGAAATGTAGAACCTTTTCTAATATCATGAATTTTATTATCATTTTAGTCCAGAGACCAAGACTTACTCACAAGTCAGAAAAAGTTCAGATATATTTAATAGTTCTGAATATGCTCACGCTTTTATTATCACATACATGATCTAAGTTAGATAATCTAATATACATTTAATAGTATAGTATCCAGTTCATGGTTCTAATTTATTTCGAATATACAGTGGCGAGCACATGTGGATACATGTTTGTCACTTCAGACTTCAAGCTGTTGTAAAATCCGTAAAAATGAATAAATCTCTTTAATTTTTTTTTTCTAGTAATCTTTATTAATATCTACTAGATATACAAGGAACTAATATTTAAATAATAAGTTGCTTATATGTATGTATATTTTTTTATTATTTGAAAAAAGTCAATGTAGCCACTTTTGCACGTTTTGGCTTTATTTTAGTTTTTATTCAAATTTTAATATTTGGTCCAAAGACCCTTTGCCTTAATTACCATTTTAATACGTTTGGGCATACTCTCGACCAATTTCTGCAACATTTCATTTGGAATACTTTTCCATTCCGCTTGCATCCTGGCCCAAAGTTCATCAAATCCTTTTGGTGGACTCTCATACTTTGCCAGCCGTTTCTTTCTTTTGGGTTAAAAAACCAGACTATGTGACAATATAAATAAAGGAACATGTAACTAAAAAAAGTAAAAGTTCATCGAAACGAAGAAAAAAAAGCCATCTCTATAAACAAAACTGCCTTAAATAGATTGTTCACGGCTCGGGCTCGTGAGATGAAGAGCAAATATTAAAATAACCATATTTTTTAGCCTTGAACTTGAACAAAAGCATATTTAGTCTATAATTAGGATGTGGGTTTGTTTGATCAAGTCAAGATTATTTTTACTTGGGAATATTCCCATATCTCAAGGGAATATAAATACGAGTACAGATCTACTCCAAAAGCTATCAGTCAGATAACTTCGTTGGAGTTCTGCCTGTGCGATCCCTTCATTTTTGGAAAAGGGACTCCAGGACCTCCAGAACCATGAAGCTTTTGATCAGTCTTTTCATTGGTATTTCCGTATTTGAATATAGCACATAATTCGAGTTACTAGAGTTTTCTTTTTCAGTCCATGTCTTGTTGAGCAAGTCCTTGGCATACCCTTGCGATGAACCCACTCAATCAGGTGGTTGGCCAGGGAGCTGGTTCCCGGGAGGATGGAATCCATGGCCGTCCTCAGGAAGTTGTGGGGACGTAACCACCGCAGCACCATGTGGATGTGGCTGCGAAACCACCACAAAAGCCTGTGGGTGTGGCTGCGAAACCACCACAAAAGCCTGTGGGTGTGGCTGCGAAACCACGACAAAAGCGTGCGGATGTGGCACCCAAAATTCATGGCCAGGAGGTTGGTTCCCAGGAGGTTGGAATCCATGGCCAACATCAGGCGGTTGTGGTTGCGAAACTACTAAGCCACCATGTGGCTGCGAATCCACCACATCAACATGTGGATGCGAAAGGAGAACTACCACACCAACATGTGGTTGTCATGACCACACCACTGAACCGACGCCAAGATCCAATTCTACACGAACAACACCCACATCCCCTTCAACGAAGCCCCCCACTCGAAGTTCCACAACTGAAAAATCACCACATAGTTCTCCAACAAGGAGATCCACCCCTGAGGGTACAACGAAATGCCCCGGTAGTGAAAGTACCAGCACCCACAGACCACCGGGATCCCCTTCAACGAAGCCCCCCACTCGAAGTTCCACAACTGAAAAATCACCACATAGTTCTCCAACAAGGAGATCCACCCCTGAGGGTACAACGAAATGCCCCGGTAGTGAAAGTACCAGCACCCACAGACCACCGGGATCCCCTTCAACGAAGCCCCCCACTCGAAGTTCCACAACTGAAAAATCACCACATAGTTCTCCAACAAGGAGATCCACCCCTGAGGGTACAACGAAATGCCCCGGTAGTGAAAGTACCAGCACCCACAGACCACCGGGATCCCCTTCAACGAAGCCCCCCACTCGAAGTTCCACAACTGAAAAATCACCACATAGTTCTCCAACAAGGAGATCCACCCCTGAGGGTACAACGAAATGCCCAAGTAGTGAAAGTACCAGCACCCACAGACCACCGGGATCCCCTTCAACAAAGCCCCCCACTCGAAGTTCCACAACTGAAAAATCACCACATAGTTCTCCAACAAGGAGATCCACCCCTGAGGGTACAACGAAATGCCCAAGTAGTGAAAGTACCAGCACCCACAGAACACCGGGATCCCCTTCAACGAAGCCCCCCACTCGAAGTTCCACAACTGAAAAATCACCACATAGTTCTCCAACAAGGAGATCCACCCCTGAGGGTACAACGAAATGCCCCGGTAGTGAAAGTACCAGCACCCACAGACCACCGGGATCCCCTTCAACGAAGCCCCCCACTCGAAGTTCCACAACTGAAAAATCACCACATAGTTCTCCAACAAGGAGATCCACCCCTGAGGGTACAACGAAATGCCCCGGTAGTGAAAGTACCAGCACCCACAGACCACCGGGATCCCCTTCAACGAAGCCCCCCACTCGAAGTTCCACAACTGAAAAATCACCACATAGTTCTCCAACAAGGAGATCCACCCCTGAGGGTACAACGAAATGCCCCGGTAGTGAAAGTACCAGCACCCACAGACCACCGGGATCCCCTTCAACGAAGCCCCCCACTCGAAGTTCCACAACTGAAAAATCACCACATAGTTCTCCAACAAGGAGATCCACCCCTGAGGGTACAACGAAATGCCCAAGTAGTGAAAGTACCAGCACCCACAGACCACCGGGATCCCCTTCAACAAAGCCCCCCACTCGAAGTTCCACAACTGAAAAATCACCACATAGTTCTCCAACAAGGAGATCCACCCCTGAGGGTACAACGAAATGCCCAAGTAGTGAAAGTACCAGCACCCACAGAACACCGGGATCCCCTTCAACGAAGCCCCCCACTCGAAGTTCCACAACTGAAAAATCACCACATAGTTCTCCAACAAGGAGATCCACCCCTGAGGGTACAACGAAATGCCCCGGTAGTGAAAGTACCAGCACCCACAGACCACCGGGATCCCCTTCAACGAAGCCCCCCACTCGAAGTTCCACAACTGAAAAATCACCACATAGTTCTCCAACAAGGAGATCCACCCCTGAGGGTACAACGAAATGCCCAAGTAGTGAAAGTACCAGCACCCACAGAACACCGGGATCCCCTTCAACGAAGCCCCCCACTCGAAGTTCCACAACTGAAAAATCACCACATAGTTCTCCAACAAGGAGATCCACCCCTGAGGGTACAACGAAATGCCCAAGTAGTGAAAGTACCAGCACCCACAGACCACCGGGATCCCCTTCAACGAAGCCCCCCACTCGAAGTTCCACAACTGAAAAATCACCACATAGTTCTCCAACAAGGAGATCCACCCCTGAGGGTACAACGAAATGCCCAAGTAGTGAAAGTACCAGCACCCACAGAACACCGGGATCCCCTTCAACGAAGCCCCCCACTCGAAGTTCCACAACTGAAAAATCACCACATAGTTCTCCAACAAGGAGATCCACCCCTGAGGGTACAACGAAATGCCCAAGTAGTGAAAGTACCAGCACCCACAGAACACCGGGATCCCCTTCAACGAAGCCCCCCACTCGAAGTTCCACAACTGAAAAATCACCACATAGTTCTCCAACAAGGAGATCCACCCCTGAGGGTACAACGAAATGCCCAAGTAGTGAAAGTACCAGCACCCACAGAACACCGGGATCCCCTTCAACGAAGCCCCCCACTCGAAGTTCCACAACTGAAAAATCACCACATAGTTCTCCAACAAGGAGATCCACCCCTGAGGGTACAACGAAATGCCCAAGTAGTGAAAGTACCAGCACCCACAAAACACCGGGATCCCCTTCAACGAAGCCCCCCACTCGAAGTTCCACAACTGAAAAATCACCACATAGTTCTCCAACAAGGAGATCCACCCCTGAGGGTACAACGAAATGCCCAAGTAGTGAAAGTACCAGCACCCACAGAACACCGGGATCCCCTTCAACGAAGCCCCCCACTCGAAGTTCCACAACTGAAAAATCACCACATAGTTCTCCAACAAGGAGATCCACCCCTGAGGGTACAACGAAATGCCCAAGTAGTGAAAGTACCAGCACCCACAGAACACCGGGATCCCCTTCAACGAAGCCCCCCACTCGAAGTTCCACAACTGAAAAATCACCACATAGTTCTCCAACAAGGAGATCCACCCCTGAGGGTACAACGAAATGCCCAAGTAGTGAAAGTACCAGCACCCACAGAACACCGGGATCCCCTTCAACGAAGCCCCCCACTCGAAGTTCCACAACTGAAAAATCACCACATAGTTCTCCAACAAGGAGATCCACCCCTGAGGGTACAACGAAATGCCCCGGTAGTGAAAGTACCAGCACCCACAGACCACCGGGATCCCCTTCAACGAAGCCCCCCACTCGAAGTTCCACAACTGAAAAATCACCACATAGTTCTCCAACAAGGAGATCCACCCCTGAGGGTACAACGAAATGCCCAAGTAGTGAAAGTACCAGCACCCACAGACCACCGGGATCCCCTTCAACGATGCCCCCCACTCGAAGTTCCACAACTGAAAAATCACCACATAGTTCTCCAACAAGGAGATCCACCCCTGAGGGTACAACGAAATGCCCAAGTAGTGAAAGTACCAGCACCCACAGACCACCGGGATCCCCTTCAACGATGCCCCCCACTCGAAGCTCCACAACTGAAAAATCACCACATAGTTCTCCAACAAGGAGATCCACCCCTGAGGGTACAACGAAATGCCCAAGTAGTGAAAGTACCAGCACCCACAGACCACCGGGATCCCCTTCAACGATGCCCCCCACTCGAAGCTCCACAACTGAAAAATCACCACATAGTTCTCCAACAAGGAGATCCACCCCTGAGGATACAACGAAATGCCCCAGTAGCGCAAGTACCAGTACGACACAGATACCCTGCTCTCCAACACCATCGGAGACCTCTACAACGAATCCAATCACTCCAAAACCCACCACGGAGCCTCCTTGCTGTTGCGAACCATGTGGTCCTGGTGGTCCTACTTGCCCAGGGTGCGAATGTCATGACAAGTTGTGTGAAGACTTGTTGAGTACTTTAGAGAAGTTGGAGGACAACATCAGAAAATGCGTCTGCGGTGAGCCACAATGGATGATATTTGATGACTGACCTAAAAGTCCTTACCAAGGCTGAAGCTCAAAATGACTAAATGATATGAATGGTTATTGCGTTGAATGGATAAATATGCCTCGGAAATATCATGTTTCAGTTTATGCTGTTTTCGATTTTAATAATTCTTTATTTTTTTTGTTAAATATATGTTTATGTTGCATTTTAATTTATCTGGTGTTTGATATTTCCTAAACATTTTTATACCCTTGCAGAGGGTATTATAATTTTGGTCAAAAGTGTGCAACGCAGTGAAGGAGACATCTCCGACCCTATAAAGTATATATATTCTTGATCAGGATCACCTCCTGAGTTGATATAAGCATGTCCGTCTGTCCGTCTGTCTGTTTCTACGCGAACTAGTCTCTCAGTTTTAAAGCTATCGTTTTGAAACTTTGCACACACCCTTCTTTCCTTTGCACGCAGTATATAAGTCGGAACGGCCCGGATCGGCCGACTATATCCGATAGCTGCCATATAACTGATTGATCGGAAATGGTATAACTTTGGTGTTTTTAGAGTTAGAGAGTTCAAATTTCACATGAGAGCTATTTTTGGCAAAATAATACGACATGTCACTATACTTGAAACTTTAAACGCGAATATCTCAAAATGGTGTTTCTTGAAAAATGACTTTGCGGTGACATGGATTGGCGGAAAACTACTGAACCGATTTAATTAAAATTTTTTTTTAAATGTTCGTAATGAAATTCTTCTGTGCTTGAACGATCGACTTTTTACGCACAAACTTTTTTTTCGCCGAAATGAATTTTTTAGTTAAGCGGTGACTAGGGCTCGAGTTCTTCTATAACACACAATATTTTCTATAACTGTTCTCCATTTGTTCCTAATGGTGAATTATTAATTATTTTCAATTCGAAAGTATTTGGTTTATTTTTTTTTGGTACGAAACATATTGAATATAGAATATATTTTATTCTTAATAAATTTTGTTGTGTTGGAATATTCATATTATGATCTATAATATATCAAAGCCAGTGGCTACAATTTCATTCATAAATGTAATTTCGCGAATAAGCTTCCACTAAAAAATTCAATAGTAATTTTATACACGCACAGTAAAGGATTTAAAAATTTTTATTTGTAATCACTTTACAATACTTTGCTAAAAATCGAACAATGAGACAGTTATTGTATCATGCTCTATCCCAAGTACCAGGTATACATGATTATAATTAATAGTTTTTATAGATATATCCACAAGATTTTTTTTTATTCTTGAAATTATTTTGGTTAATATTTCAAAACCGTTTCAAGAACTCGTACAAGAACCGACCTTCAAGGAAATAAAAATTTTTTAGGGAGTCAAAACGGAAAAATGGCAGCAGAAGGGAGCAGAAGGACATGGGAGGTGGAAAGGTGAGACCAACTCTAATTAGGGTTCGACACCCATAGAAACAGACGCGAACCAGAAGGGTAGGCAACTTGCCGGAGCAAGAAGAAGCGAAGGAAAGACGCGTGGGCGATTGACAATTTGTTGTGAAAATAGAGAAGCAAAAAGGGGAGGCATGGGGGCAATATAGGGAGCCAGATAGAGAGATAGGAAGCAAAGAGAAGAGAGAGAGAGACCGTTTTGCAGAAAACCGGGTGAGCGCCAACAAAAACAAACAAGACCGTCCAATCTGCTCCCACTCTCTCCACCGCTCTTTTGGGGCAAATGAGCGACCGAGAGAGCGCAAGGAACAGGATGACGAACGAACATGTGAAGCGACAGCTAAGGAAAATGCGTCGCAAAAATAAGGCGCAGGTGCGATGCCTGGAGGAGATGTCGATTTCTTTTTTATAATTCCGTTTTTTTTCCTTTATTTATTTTCTTTTTTTTTGATAACGAGAAGTATGCGAGGATTGAGGAGAATCCAAATTGAGAAGATTGAGAAGCTGAAACAGTTCAGTACTAGACACTGTAAAAAAAAATTTTAAAACAACAAGGAAAATATTTCTAAGCATTTTCAAACAACTATTGAGTTTTTGTTGATATTTTTTCATAATAATACCACATTTCAGGTTTTAGAAGCTTGTATTATACTCGATTATCTCGATTATTAATTATATGTTCGATACATATGCGATAATTGGATGTATTTGTTATCGATTGAAAATTTTATTTTTTTTTAATTAAAATTTTTATTCAAATTTTAAATCGCAAATTGAATGCCAAAAATTCGATTATTTTTAAATTGAACTTAAGAATTATCAGGCATAGAAGAGACGCCTAGAAGGACAGGAAGAGAGAGGAAGAGAAGGACAAGGAGTAACAAAGACGGCAACAGACAGTAAGAGAGCTCAAAATACAAGCTGAAAGTGGAAAAAACCGGAAGATAAATGGCCAAAAGCGACGGCGCAATGAGAATAGAGCGGCAGTGAGAGCCAAAGCGCGAAAGGAAGACTGCCGAAGAGCAAAAACCGGGCCCAAAAAATAAGCCGCTAAGAAAGATAGAAAGAGAAGGCGAGCAAACAAGTGAATGGAGAAACAGGAGCTGCCGCATAAATGAAAACAACAATAATCGTGCAACAATTTGTTGCCGCAACATGTTGAGAAATGCCAAGAGAGCAACAGAGAAAGAGTGAGAGCGACAGCGAGAGAGCGGGTGAGGTGTCCTGTTTTTTGCGTCCTGCCCTTCCCCAAATACGTTACAAGGATCCTTGCAAGCAACCATCCTTTAGCCTTTTGCCCTTTGTCCTGGCCATGTCAGGCCTGGCAGCGAGGGGGGTGTAATCGCAATTAGAAAGCGCATTATGAAAGCCATATATTTGCATTTGCCGTGGCTATGGGCTAATTACAACTTCCAGGATAAGGCCACAGCCCGGCCAAGATGTTGCAACTGGCAGCCACAAGGGTCGTGGTGTTTGTGGCAAGCACAGAGCTCAGATGTGGTCAAAAGCCAATTAAAACATTCAAATGAGTTACCTTGCCTGGCTTCACCCTCACATAAGAGTCATTCTTCGTGTGCGCTCCTTTAAGCACGAAAATTAAATAGGATAGTCGAGAAATTGGATTTACCCATAAAGGACCTTTTAAGTAATTCTTAAAGGGTTATTCACCTGGTAGTCTTCTAGTGGCATAACATCTATGATGAAGTATAAGTCGTAAAGTTCTTGAGGCTCAAGTGTTTGAAGAGATAAATGGAACAGAACAGAATAAAGAATAAAATAATGAAAGAACAGACGGACATGACCTATAACACAGTGCGACAGTGATTTGGAACTTTTGAAGAGACCTAGTAGGAATTGTTCATTAGGTCGAGTATAGTATAAAACCATGTTTAAAATTTTTAAAACCCCCTCAAAATCTTGATTTAAGTTATAACACTTTTCCCAAAACAAGTCAGACAAATCATGCTGGCGTTCTGGAGCAATAGTGTGCCCTTCCATTCCGCCTATTCCTTTCTTTCACACACTTTTTTTCCGGAGCGCTAGTAAAATTGCACTGACTTGTTTTGGGAAAAGCGTTAAACCTTCAACAATTTTCCTTATCCTTATGAAATTTGGCATGTCGCATTATTTTGCCAAACATAAAAAAAAAGAAGGGTGTATGCAAAGTTTCAAGTCGATAGCTTAAAAACTGAGAGACTAGTTCGCGTAGAAACAGACAGACAGACAGACAGACAGACGGACATGCTCATATCAACTCAGGAGGTGATCCTGATCAAGAATATATACTTTTAAGGGTCAGAGATGTCTCCTTCACTGCGTTGCACACTTTTGGACAAAATTATAATACCCTCTGCAAGGGTATAAAAATGGATAAAATAAATTAAGAAAGGGATCTACATGTATGCAGATTTGGTTCAAAGACTAGGAGGAGTAACGGGTATTATTTATTAAGAATAATAAGTGTTGTATAAGCTGTTTTTTAAGTTATGTATCAGCTTTTTTCTAAGTTTTGTATAAGCTGCTTTGAAATTTTTTGTACAATTTTCAAAAACCATCTCCAAAACTTAAGATAAAATCACTGTTTACAGAATATAAAAGATATATCTATGTACATATAATCCAAACCGAAAAAAAAACAAAATCTCTTTGATTTAAGTATCAATCGACAGTAAGAAAGAACGAATAATAACTAGTGGTATTTGGAGGTACATAGATCTGATTCAAGACAAAGGTTCTAGCCTGGATTCCTGGGTATCATACATATGTATATGTGAGAAACTAGTGCTGTATAAGAAATGTCAAATTTTAATGAGTGTTGTAAAAAGGGATAATTTATTTCCAAAAATGAGCTCGTAACAACAAATATAATTTTTTTTGTTTCTATTTATTTAAATACATAAACCCTCTTTCTCTTACATATTATCCAAACGTGTAAGAAAGTTTCTACAAAAATTAATTGAGTTTTCAGATGATATATCCGAGAGCCTCAAAGTTGTTGAGATTACCTTTCAAATTTGTAATTTCGTTTGCACCTGTTCAGATGCAGATGCGTCGAATGATTTGTTTGATTCGACTTGGGGCTTATTCCATGGTTCTGAGTGCTATTCGCCTGAAATTGGCAATCACTTGGCAATGGTTTGACGTTTCTCTGATTGTTGGCCGGATTCTTAGCCATGAAGGTGCCAGTGGCAGTGCCAGCTCATTTCAGTTACGTCAACTTTAGTTAACTTAACCCTTCATATCAGTTGGTTGTTATATGAGTCAGGGGCGGGGGGGAGTGTTGAGTGGGTTAAAATAAACGCCAGTCGCAGTTGGCAACAAATCACACAAAAAATGCGTGCCAAAAACAGTCGGAACTAAAGCGAAAAAAAAAAAACAGAAATAAAATAAGAAAGAAAGAAGCGAGTAAGTAAAGTGAACGGCTGCACAACATGGCGTATGAGTAATGCAACCCTTCCTCTCTTTTTTTCGTTTGGCTTTTTGTTTTCTGTTCGCCCTTTATTTTACTTATTTTTTTGGTTTTTGTTTTTTGTTATGCCGACCTTATAAAACCCAACAAATGCAGGCGAAACAAGTGCCAGGTTACGCTGCAAGTGTTTTTAGACTCTGACATTCCATGGAATTTAAATTAACAAACAAAAAACACAAGAACAACAAAAACATTGCTGGGAAAAGTAAATAATAATGCAAAGAGGGGAAGATGAAATGCAAGAGGTAACGGTCCTTAATTTGCGAAATGCCCTACAGCAAGAAAATTAGGGGGGTTTACATAATATGTTGTTATTTTTTTTTAAAAAGAAAACAAAGGTAAAAAATTCATTTAAAAAACATTGAATTAAAATTTTTCTTTAATTTTGATCGAGTAAAATTTACAATTATTTAAAAAACTTATTATAATTTATATATTTATATTAAAAAACTTAAATAATTTAATTATAAAACAAAGAAATACCCTATAGTTAGTGAGTTTTACAAAAAACGTTATTACTTCTAAAATAAGTAAGAAATTTTAATTTTAATTTTTATCGAGTAAAAGCCAACATTTTTTAAAACTTACTCGTTTAAAGAAAAAGAGTTAAGACTCTTCTTCAGGGTTCTTTCTTCTTATTTTTGGTAATTTAACCACTGTAATGAAAAGAAAAATTTAAAAAGTATGAGAAAACAGCGAAAATTGTACGTTTTGGATGTAACTTTGAACCTAAATAAATTGAAGAAAATCCTATAAATAATTTAAGACTTTTTAGGTATCAATATAGAAAGTAATAAAAATTTAAACTCATAATAGTATTGTTAAAGTTATGTTTATTAATGTTTATTAAAACCTATTTCAGTGATAATTATAATACCCCTTACTCTACCATCAAAAATTTGTAAATTAACCCTATTTATATGCTCCTATTTTTGGAATTCACCTACTATATTTCCCTGATTACAGGTCAATAAAAATATTTATTTATTCAGTGTACAAATTGCAAAAAGCTTGCGAAATTCCCATTAAATATTTATGATTGTAAACAAACAAAAGAAAAAAGAACAAAAAGTAACCAAACACTTCGACAGCTGCCTCTGGAATATTTTTTTTTACCCCCAAAAATCTACCATTCTCCATTTGGAAAGCGAAATACGCAATTTAAATTGAAGAAGCCAACAAAAATAGCCGCCAAACCAAAAAAATAATGAAAAAGGCGGAAACCTTGCAAATCCCCAAACATGCAATGTGTAGAATCCTTTTTTTGTTGCAAGGAGGTGAGAAAACTAGAGATGGGGAATACAATGGGCTAGACATCAATCAGCAGCGGAGCTTGAATCGCTGACATCAATCAAAAGAATAAAGGGTAAGTTCGGACAGATGGATAGATTTTATTCTAAAGATGTATAAAAAAATTATTTAAAATAAGATACCATATTTCTGTGATTATTGGTCTTATGCGCTTTAAATAGATGGTCAATAGAATAGTTTCTTTATAAGGGATACAAAAATGTGATTAAAATTTAAATTAAATAAAAATATATTTAAAAGATAATAAAATGAAATTATATTTGTATTTCGCCTTATTTTAAGTTTATAAGGATTTGAATGCAAATATTATTTTTGAAGCAGTGGTCGGCACCCAATACATTGATATGATTTTAATGCACTAATATTAGTAACGAATAACAGAAAGTAGGCTGTGAGTATGACGTTTCAGACATTTATACTGTGCCGACCACTGCTTTAAAGTTAAGAGGTTAGATTTCCGCTCTACTACTTAAATATGATGTATGATGTAATTGCAACCAACAATTTTTTTATGTGTAAAATTTTAGACTCAAAATATATAAAGAAATCAATTTATTACTCAATAAAAATGAGAAAGACTTTAAGCCTCATAAAAATTAATTAAAACCTTTTTAATAAAGCTTAAATGGTAAAAAAAATATGATGACATCTATGTATGGTGAAATACCTATTAAAAAATAAGGAAATACGTTACGTAAATAAGATAAAAAATTTAAAAGAAAGTTTAATTTAAGGCAGTCATTGTTATTATTTAAATTATTTTCCTTTTACTACCTTACCTAATAACTCGGTTAAAAAAAAAAATATAGATATATAGATATATATATATATAATATATAATATATACATATAGAATATAGATTAAGTATCCCTGGATATACATACACACACACACACGTTTTGTTGTTGTTATTGCTTGTTGTTGGGCAAAATTGTTGCCACAATGCGATTTCAATTGAATGCAATGAATATCGCATGAACTTGACAGGTCAACTTATTCGCTGTCTCGGTTTCTCGTGCAACTGTGTGCAACTGCATTTATATAGACTATATATAGCCCCTTGATTAACGGACCGACTGACTGACTAACTGACTGACTGACTGACTGTCAAGCCACTAAGCCCTGACTCTGACTCTCGCGGCTATGATTCTGATTATATGGGCTTGCCCCATCATCAATGTCCGTGTCTGTGGCTCTATTGAACAGTGGGCTTCGAATAGAAAATTGGTCTACAAAAATATATACCTAAGATGTTGAGCAAAAAAATGTATAAACATGAATATGAATTCAAGAAAAAATTTTTTAGTAATATTAAACAAATATTGGTAGAAATGGGTACTGTATTTTTCAGAAAATTAGGAACTTTTAAATAAATAAGCATACATTTTGTATATTAAATAAGTTAATTATAAATTCAGATTAGTATTTGATAACTATGTACTATGTAAAATAATGATTGAACTTTAAAGTAAATATACAATAATATATATTTTTTTGAGGCAATAGCTGAATAAACCATATATGTAAATATGTAACAGTTTAATTTTCGACTTAAAAACTTAAGAGATTACAGAAAATGTACTTTTTTTTAAACGAATAGTTCCAAAAACGTTTGTTTCTTGGTTAATTTATTTTTTTTTTTAAATACACAATTTTTTAAAATATTGTTATATTAAAATACACCATTTTTTTAAATATTGTAAACTAAAAATTTTAAATATTCCTAATATTCAAATTTATTCAAAATTTTAATAAGATTTTAGAAAAGTAAGTTAATAATGAAATAAAGAGAAGTATTTATATCGTAAGATGGAAATTGTACATAAAAAAGCTACAGGAAATAAAACTTTTTTGCAAAAACAGCTAAAATCTGGAATTATATCAAAAGAAAAAGTTGATAAATTATGTAACATATACATATGTAATTAAACTGCGTTTCAGACATTCTAGCCCACTGTTCTAGGCATATTTTCAACATTTCCCACTTACACACACAAATGCCGAATGCAATCAGGTTGGCTGTGTGTGAGTGTTTGTGCTTGGGCATGTTTGTTGCAAACGAAAGAGGGAGATAGAAAGATGAAGAGAAGGAGAAGAACAGAAAAAGCGAGAATGAAATGAATGGAAAAACTAGTATGCCACTTTTCATGCATAATTTTCGTTTTGTTTTTAGCATTCTGTTGGCACATCCACCCCCTCTGCCCACCATTACATTTTTTTTTGCCATATTTTCCAGCACCACCCCCTAACATGCCACTCCAGGCAGCCGCCCCGAAGCCCCCCCTCTCAATTTGAGCCAGACTTTTAACATTGAAAACGAACGTTGACATGAATGCAATCAGCACGCGTTGGAAACGCACCGACAAACAAACAGAAGAGGGAGATGGAGATGGAGGAGTGGGCGATGGAGAGGTGGAAAATAGAGGGGAAAACAGCAGAGCGGGAGAACGGTGGGGTGGAGAGCGTAGCAATCCGAATGTCACATGCCTAATGTAATTATTTCGCATCTGCAAGATTCGACAAGTTGCGATAATTTCAATTTAATTCAGATATCTGATATCTTTGTGGGAATTTGCGATAATTTTCGATGAAGTGCGATATCAGATGTCCGACATATACATATTACAATACAAGCAAACATAAAGACGATAAGCAAGTTGCATAAAAGTTGTTCCAATCCTCATAAATTTTTAAACCAAAATGAATACAACTTTAAATATGGGATTAATAGGTATCTTAAAGAACGATATTTAAAATCTTTAGAATATATTTAGTCTATAAAATATAGAATCTATAAAATGTATAAAAAATCTTTAAAATATTCGATATTTAAAATCTAGTTTAAGATAAAGTTCTTTAATCAGATAGAAACAAATTCATTAACTAAAATATAAACAAATAAAAATTTATGAGCTAGACATAGTATGGTATCCAATCCTGATAAGATCCACTATACAGTTGTAGAGTTCCAAATAAGATGTTATACATACAAAAACACACTATCTTACAATTTTCAATCATTATTATTTCAGTAAGAATAAGTGCTTTTAATTATCTATTTAGATAATTAATCCCATATTGATAAGTCCGATGATTTAGACTAACTCGATATACTTTGTAATTTAGGATGATTTTTCGATGATTTCGATTAAAAAGTTGATTTGAGTGATAATTTAAAGCATTTTAATATTGGTCCCAATAGCTCCCAAATGATTCCCAAAGTCATTAAAGTTCTATAAAATACCATATATTTAGTAATATAGGATAATTTTGATTAAGTAATATCATTACTACTTTTCGATGACTTTTTGATGATTTCATTTGAAAATTGTTGGCACAGACAATTCAAACTCCAAATTCAAATTAAGCACAGACAAAAATAAGAAAAAATTCACAGACAAATAAATAAATGGATGATCAAGTTACATAAATGACATTAGCCTTTAAAAGTCCTGATAAAGCACTCATAACATCATGTCTAGCCGACAGACCTTATTAAAAAGAAATAAAATATATATGTATACATATACCAAGATCATAAAATATTGCATTTGCAGTCGTTTATTTATCAATTGTAATCTTGAGATACTTAACAAGTAATAATTTCCAAGAAAATACAAAAGAAATTGAAACATATTATAAATCTATGTTTAATGGTGGCATTTTTACTTTATCGATAGAACTTAGAAGCTTTTGCGATAACCACTTATCGATTTCTACTTCAAAAGAGCCCCGTCGTTGCTCTAAGGAAGTCTAGCAATAAAAATGCAAAATTAGAGACTCTAGAGTAGGTGTAACTTAATTAAAATGTCGCTACACAAAAATAAAAGGAAAATGTAAAGGCCTTCCTTATTTTCCTGCGGGTTTTCCTGGTTTTTCCTATGAGTGGAGAGTTTTTTCCCATTTTCCTTGCGCTCACTTGCTGATGTTGCTGTTTTTCTCGTAGTTTGCATAAATCAATCAAGCTGAGTGTTTGCACATACAATATATAGCAGAAAACTGAACACAGTCCCATCCGCATACCCCTTTTGTTTCGCCCTGTGAGGAAGATGTGGAAGGGAGTTCCCCTTTTTTTCCCTTCAGCCATGTAATGACGAAAGCGTTCGAGTGTAAAATGCAGCACCCACTTTTTGGTTAGTCAACTGAGCCAGGAATGATACATTTTTTTTCTATGTCTGTATAGAACTTATAGTTGCATTAAATACATTATTTCATAACTAATATAAATACGTTAAAAAGCCTTTATTTATTGGTTTCAACGTCGTTATTACTCATTCTTCCCTTGACTTAACCCTTTTATTAAGCTGTCCTGTTTTCCCCTTTTACGTGACATGTGCAAACATT